TTTCCCTCTCTCTCTTTCTCTTTTTCTCTCTCTCTCTCTCACACACACACCACATTTTCCAAATTTACATATTAGTTGGCAAATCAGAGTGAGTGCCTCTTCTGAAATCACGGTTGATCTGAGGATGCCTTGACATTTATCCTCAAAACCATTGCCTCTCTCTCTCTCTTATGAAGTACCTCCACTCTGTATGATTCAAAATCAGTTCTTACCAATGCTGCACATTCATGTGCAAGGCATTCAAACTATCTTTCAAATTATCTTTAGACCTCTTCCTAGGTTTGTGTCTTGGACGCTTTCATGTCTTCATTTCCCCGTAGAAAAATTGTTTAGGGAACCTATTGTCCCCCATTGTCACAACGTGTCCTTTCCATCGCATATGTTTGAAGATTATTATTGTTTAAGTGTTGTTGCATTTAGATGTTTGGATGAGAACAGTGTCTGGAGTCAAAGACTGACATTTAATGTATTTCCGGCATTTTTTTGTGGAATCACTCAAGCCTCCGGTACTGTCTATGTTTCATAACAGTTCAGCAGGAGCGTTAAGGCACAGCTCATATACGCATTTATTTTAATTTCGATATGTAATGTACCAATCTGAGCAAACTACACGTTCCCATTTTTCAAAATCCACACTTTCCTTTTGATCCTGGGTACCGTCCTTTGATATAGTACCTCCAAGATATGTGGAAGTGTCAACAATCTCCAGCCTGATATTTTTCACAAGTATTGTTGGCTTTTTTGTGAGGCACGCCAGGTGGAGGAGTGAACACCTTTTTTGTCTTCCTCAGACTAATCCTTAGTCCAAAAGCATCACAAGCGGCTGAAAAGTTGCGAATTTTCATCTGTGGGCGCTACAAAGTCTTCATCAGCAGCACTCAAAGTTCTTGCATACATACATATATACATAATAGGTGCTTGCTCAGTTCCTCGTGTACCCGTCTACTAGGTTGGTTAACTATTTCCTCTTGCAGATGCCCGCTCGGGCACCTTTGCGTATCTTCAGTGACAACTTGTGATTGATACTGCAACTATGCTGGGAGAGAGCGCATTATCTGTCGTGGTCAACAGTTGAACAAGGCTACCCAGTGTAACCCGTTTCAATCCCAAGGCTTGGATCAACCCGTGGTATGATTTTCAAACACTTTCCAGCAGTATCGATATTACCGAGAAGTCACTCCCAAGACAAAACCGACTGTGGTGAGATTCGAACACTGGCTCCATTTTCTGAATCTTAATGTTGTAACCATTTAGCCACGAACCTATAAATACATACACACATGCTGGCTGTCACCTTGTTGTTGAGTATGGCCACCAGAGGACATCATTGTGAAACTAAGTTGTGTTTTAAACGAATATGGCTCTTGAAACTGGAAAAAAAATCTTTTAAAACCCTTGCCACAAAGTTGCTAGGCATGAGACATGTTTTTTTAATCATTAGGCAGATTTTAATTTTATGCCTTCAATGATTTTGATTTTCTTTTTCGAGTAAGGTCAGCCATCCGACATACGAAATCAACCGAAAATATCATACAATTCTTGTGCCTGAAAATTGAGGAAGACGTTGCACTGTGCTAGTCCGACTCTCTGCGCCAGAACAACACATACCCAAAAAGAAGCCGATGACTAAGGGGTCCATAACATATGGTAGTCTTACCACACAATTGAACAAAAACCCCAGTTATTTCTATCTTCCTCTACCTGAGGTAGGTGGCCGCTGATCCCATGAAAGGATTCATCCACCTTTCTACAGGTCTTATTTTAAGTCCTGTTTAAGGTTTAATTCTAGCACTTTTCCTATAGGAAAAAACCTGGTGAAGAAACCAGTTTAAAATCCAATATAAGACAACCACATAGAATAGATACGTATATATATATATATATATATATATATATATATATATATATATATATATATATATATATATATGATAGCTATTGACTTATATAATTTTGTATAATTATTTCTAATTCATTAAATTCGAGAAAAAACTGCCAAGTAATCCAGAGGCAAGCCGAAGTGTGATGTCTGCTTTAACTATGTAAAAGAGTGATAAAGTTGCCTTCTCCTCGTCTTTTCCAGCCAAGGAAAGCGTACAAGACAACAGAGATTTGAATTTATAGCTTTTCTTTTCAATGATGGTTTGCCTTCAGCACGGCTCTGGAGATCCATTAACCTCATATTTTTTGTAATATATCCATTAAAAATTACGCTAAGATGGCGTCTGAACCTACCTACCTACCTACATACATACATGTTGATTTTGACATCCTACTCAAATGAGTGCCTCTTGCTCACACTTCACATTGCTTGTAATGGCTACCGTCTTATTTCGGCATCCATGTCTCTTAAGATGACTCGTGAAACCAGCATTTGATTTTATAGGTGTCATGCATATATGACAGATAAACACTGTATCCTTGACTGGGTTAAATGGACCTGCATGATCTACAATTCGTTCAGTCTAAATGATGATCTGAAAACCCTGTTAAAAACAAC